TACTACATTAATAAAAATTCATCAGTATTCCAGAAATTGTAATGTTACATCCATTACTAGAAGATGGGACAACCGTTTGGATTGCCTTTAAAAGCCATGTCATTTAAGAAGACAGCACAACAGCTCGGATATGACTATGATATATGTTCAAATAAATAAAAAAAATCTTATGAAATCCTTAAGGATTGGAAATCGAGAATTGGAAGACGTAGGTCATTTCAAATATCTGAGAAGCATCCTGACCAGAGACTGATACTGCACGAGAGAGATCAGGACAAGGATTGCAAGCGCCAACGCGGCATTCACGAAGAAGAGACTGATAAAATGCTACGTCTGGAGCATAGCTCCGTACGGATCAGAGACTTGAACTCTAAGAAAAGACTGACTGATAAGAACTATCTAGAGAGTTCTGACGTGTGATGCTGAAGGAAAATGGAGAAAATAAAGTGGACTGACAAGATAACAAATACAAAAGTTCTGAGGAGAGTGGGCGAAGAAAGGACTCTACTGAGCACGATCCTGAAAAGAAAACTGGATCGGACCCATTCTGGTGCTCTCATACCATGAACCTACCTTCGGGCATACTACTATTTATATTAATATCCTTCAAGAGTTTACTAAAATGAAGACAAGTAAAACGACAATCCTAATGTCGTGTTAAAAATACATCTATCAATATACAGTTATCTTGCAATATTAACGACAATGGCACTAAAATATGTAAGTGCTAAATAGAAAACAGTTACTTTTATCGTGCAATATTCAAATCTTTTCGAGTAGTGTTTTCGTAGAAGCGCATAACTAATCACGTATCATAATTTAGCCATAAAATAAATCAGCAATGTATGACAATAACCATCGACACATAAATCTGAAAGATCATAAATTAGAAAATAATTTTGTCACACTGGCTAAAGAGGCTATTTGGCTACTGGCTAGGTGCCGCAATTTTGATGGAAGAATTTAGAAAGAATTAAATTAAATAATTAACCATTTATATATTTTTTGTCACGCATGTATACGTTTGAAACAAAGATATGTCTGTTTTAAATTTCTGATAAATACTACATCCACGTATAAAAAACATCTTTGCAAGTACTTTGCGGATCAGAGACATGGACTCATTGAAATGCCGACAAAAACTATCTGGTGAATTTGAAAATGTGGTGCTGGAAGCGATTGGAGGAGATAAAGTGAACAGACAAGATAACCAATGAAGAAGTGCTCTGAAGAGCAACAAATGAAGAAGTGCTCTGAAAAGCAACCAATGAAGAAGTGCTCTGAAGAGCAACCAATGAAGAAGTGGACAAAGAAAAAACTCTACTGAGCACGAACCAAAAATGGAAAGGAAACTGGATCGGACCCACTCTGCCAAAAGAGTGCCACCTACACGGGGTAGTTGAAGATAAATTAGAAGGACTAAAAAAATTGGGTAAAGGAAGAATGCAAATGATTGATGTTTTATAGAGAAAGCCGAAGCAAAAACCAGAAGCATGGCAGAAACCGTTTGGGAAGTAAAAGGTATGAAAATGAATAAAAAGTGATCAATAGTAATAAAATGGTAATGGAAATAATATACAAGTGTCGTAAAGGGAATCATTGATTTGTCGTGCTCTCATACCAGACTACCATTTCTTATTATTATAAAAAAACATGAAATTCGCCAATCATCTTCAATCCAACAACAAGAAGCTGCACAGCACATACTCCAATAACTAATTATAAATAGGTACAAAATTATGAATTTTGGACGCTTAGTTCTCTCAAAAACTGCCATTTTTTACATATTTAGCTCCGTATCTTCAAAATGGCTGGGCCTGCCTTTGCCAAAAACTAATAAACACTTCTCCCAATCATTACTAATTGAATGTTTTTTAGATCATTCAAATCGGATACTCCGTTCTCTCAAAAATTCGATTTCTATTTTCTGCACTCTTTGCTCCGTATCTCCGAAACGGCTGGACCTGCCTTTGCCAAAAACTAATCAGCTCTTTTCCCTATCAATAGAAATTTTTTTGAACCATTCAAATCGGTTGATCCGTACGACCGAAAACGTGGGCGAAAATTTGTATCCATACATACATACACACACAGACACACACATCAATTTTTTCTGAAGTATGCCAAAATGTTCAGAAACCTTCAAAACGTCGAGAAATGTAAAAATTTTCAATTCCGATTTTCGGCCCATTACAATAACTTACCCTACGGGAAGTTAAAAATAAGATAATGAATAATGCTAATTGTAAATCGATTTTTTAATGATTGTGGAAAATTGTTGATATATTAGCAAAGAGCAGGGCGAGAGTATCCACCAAGACTCCAGACTTTGGAAGAGCGATATCAAGTAAGGTGGGACTTCAACATATTGGGTGACAAATGTAGGAGCTTACGACAAAATCAGTCAGGCCTTGTCCACGATCGAAAATCATATAGAAAGACTTTTGAAGGCATAAAATAAAATATGTTCTATATTTTATTGTAATTTGAGACAAAACTGGAACATTGGCATATCTCAAAAAATAGAGCTGTTAGCAAATTTCTGTTACTGTTTTTGGCATCAGCATCCTCGAATTACTTCAAAACCATCATAAAATCTCAGGTAAAAAATTTAGTGTCGCGCAGTGTAATCCATTTTAATTTCATTTATTATATAGGTCATTTTTAATCACATTTATCATAAAGTAATAAGGTAATAAATAGTATTCATTATAAAAGTTTTTTTAATCATAATAATTTTTAACAAATTTGTTAAAACAGTAACAAAGTAAAAATACTTGCAATCAATTCTTCCAATATAATAAAGCTGTCTGTGGTATACGTTTAATTTTTATCATTATATTGATTATATTGACAGAAAACTTGAAGATGAAGCATCCAAAACTTCAAGATAAACACTCTTCAACTCGGAACTCAAATACAAATTAATAATAAATCGAGAACTCATCCATCATATATATATATATATATATATATATATATATATATATATATATATATATATATATCGACCATTTATTATTGATGTCGAAAACAACGGCTTATATTGTCAGCGCGCATTCCTCGTGTTAAATGCACCGAAAAGAATTTAATATTGATAAAATTTATATCGATATGCACACGCGATGGTACGTCTAGGCACTTTCGATAGGAGAACTCGGAATAAATATCAGGCTACATTCTGAATATTAACTGCACATTTATTTTTTTAACTCTTTTTATTAGAGGCCGTCCATTAGTCACTTGAGGCTTAGAAGAAGCGGAGAGGTTTGACAAAAAAATCACAGAATATCACCAGGTAGAGAGGAATCTAGTAATACATCAAGTGTTTTTATTTTTTGAAAACCTAAAATTGCTTTTTTTAAAAAATCCAACATTTTTCAAAAAAAAATCAGAATTTTTACAATTTTTTGGATACTAAAAACACTTGTGATGTTTGTTGGGGGTGGTGGAGTAATTTGGTCACCATGCATCGCCAAGGGGGAGAAAGCTCAATTGAATATGAGCTTAATTCATGGACAGTTCACCAAGATCAAGAAAACAAGATCTATCAAAATAAAATAAAATCGGAGATCGCATTCGCTGATTTAATTTGAAACAACAGTACCAATTTACTATCATTTAATAATCTTGATCAAAGATTATTATCAATACTTTATAAATAAACTTATATTGAATAAAAGGGGTATCTGTTGCGCAGTGGTAAGAGTCCTGCTTTGTAATGACAAAGAACTATAATATTCGTTTTAGCTCTAAAATATAGTTCAAAATATGTTTCCAAGTAAAAATAACCTTTCCAGATATTGCTGCAATAAGTCAAAGGAAGAAAAAAAATAGTTCATACTGGAAGGTGTTTGCATTTATTGCTCCTTGAGCACTTATACAAACTGTATGATATATAAAATCCCTTATAAAGCTATCATAATTTGTAAAACTTGTAAAAACTACAAAAATATTAATAATTTAAAGCGTTAATTTTTTTTTAGAGCGTAGTTTTAATATATTTCATGTTCATGTTGTGAAAACACCAAGAAAATATATCTTATATATAAAAATGAAGCTCTCGATAAAATGATCCGCTAAAACACGAAAACGGCTAAACCGATTTGGCCAGTCTTAGTCTTGAAAAATTCGTGCTAATCAGTAGGTTGTCGGAAAGGTGAGATATTATTTCTATTATTATTAGAAGCGTAATTTGAATAAAACAATGTACGGTGGCTAATAGTTCAAATGTTAAACGTTTTTGACAGATAATGTTCATTTGCGTTTAATAGGATGTTTTACGTGAATATTATTTAATTATGATTAATTTGTAGTAAGTAGTTTTGCTTGTAGTTTTATTTATACAAAAAACGTTATTAAACGGGCCCCATGTGTTACTAGAAACTCAACATATCAACTTTTTTGAAATGTTAATATGAAAATGCGTTGTAGCACTCTTTTTTGCAAATCATATTTTTCTCAAACACGGTACTCTGAATTATCTCATTTGTATAAATATATACTCATTGGTATTTATAAAGCATTTTCTAGGTTATATTATTTTTTAATTTTGTTATTTAAATTCAGAACCTGAATTTGGTATTGATCAAATAGACATTTTGTCGAATAACGTTTTCCCAGTTATAATTTACCAGAATTTACCGAAAAATAGATAGTAATAAATGAAGGTACGGGGTTAAAAGCGTCCACCACCGATGTGTCAAAAACCAATAAAGTTTAGCATCGTTCAACAACAATATTTGAAAGTAGAGGGAAAAAGATGTATAACCAGCTATAACCTTAATTTTCATGAATTTGCTATCGGCAGATAAACGGTAATTTTTGAGAATCCATAACGAAAGTATTTCCTTTTGTTCCAATAACCAGCAAAAAATATATCCGTGTAAATAAAATAATAAAGCTGCTCTTAAGTTCTCTTTATTTATCGTGTGCTTAATCTCCTAATACGATGCAAAATATCATACAAATAAAAACTCTAAATAAATAATTTTACTCACCAAATGTTTGACGTTGATATTAGAAAGATCATCTTCATATCTGGGCAAATCGCTTGGTACAGGTCTTGAAGGAATATCAATCTTTCGAGGACAGACTTCGATTTCGTTCTTATATAGTGGATACAACACAATACACACAAAAACAGCAAATCACATGCACATAAAATAAAAATAAAGTAAACATACAAATACAAATTTATATTACTAATCTGAACAACATATCTAAGGCATACTGGTATAAATTATCGGAAACTACATATTTTGTTTGTAGTACGGGCAATATAATTAATCGGAAAGCTATTAGGGGGAAGTCCCGTAACGCCGGACAGCACCTAATACCGGACACTCTATTTAACACGTATTATTTAAGCGATTATAAATCTTTTTATATCAAAATACAAGTGAAAGGGGCGCGGGGGGCACACAGGTGCAGGATCACCCGCCAAGACTCATCTGTGACGCACACGGCAACGGCGGGAGCAACTCTTTGCAGTTTTAGGCGCAAAATCACGGCGTTACCTAAATATCAATGGAAGTAATTCTAGTGTATTTATGCATTTATATTTGAGTGGCATTCAATGATAAAAGTAGTACTTGATTATTATCCGTAAAATGGTAGAATATTATTAGATATTTTAAACAATTATAGTAGGTACCACTAAATGAACGAACATGCCTTTCCCTTAGCACTGGACACTAAGACAGTAAACATATTGATATTTGTTGTGAGAATTGACGTAATTTATTTTAATTATTTAATTTTGTTCTGTATGAGTGCTAACGGTCACTACATATCCTCATTTTTCGTATTTCCCATTCAAAGAATGAAAATCTTATGATGAATGCTCCAGCTGAGAGCATCGGTGTGGCCCAGCCAAAAGGGAGGATGAATAGTGATTTTGTTTTTGCAATATCTAAGAATATTCGTCAAACACACATGTGCAGATACTCCAGAGTGTGGAGATGGCGTGTTCAATACTGGTTATTTTGAAATGTCCGGTACTAGGTGTCACTTTGTAATATCATATTTCTTGTTACCAAAGTTTGATTGATAGTATTAATTATTTTTTAGCAAAGATTGCGTTTTTGTTAATTTAGTTTGATTTCTAACTTTGTTATCTAACATAAGTCATAATTTAATGAACATTTCGTAAAATATTTTTTGATTTATTTATAAATAACCTTAGGTGTCCGGCACTCGAGGACTTTCCCCTATTGTATAAAAAATATCTATAATATTGGTAACCGATATGACACTTAAAATCTGCATAACAATTAAAGACTTTGAGAGCTGATAAATCATAGCTTATCTGTGAAAATGTCCAATTGTCTTTTAAGGTTCTTTTTGGATGGTGCACTTTTAATAATAGTGTACTCTAAAGAGCACATTTATCATATTTTATTTTTTTATCATAGAAAATAAAAAAAAATCTATTCAAAGTTTTATTGGCCAAGAGCCAAAGTCAAAGCTAGTTTGCAGTATTTCAATCATCAAATAAGCACCACGGTCTGGCGAGTTGAATGATTTTGATAAAGTTGATAGTTTATGCAGACTGGTAAAAAACAAAATGTGGAGTGATTACAGATTTATCAATATCAAAGATTCTATAACTTTCCGAGAAATTATACAATTCTCAGTATTATTTTATCCAACTTATCCATCTATTAACTCACCACACTAATATTTTCCTTCTCAGCCTCTCCCTTTTCTTTCTTGCTCTTCTTCGTTTTCTTCTTAGGAGTTGCTGCATCACCAGTGCCTCCATTGGTGATCATCTCACCATTGGCAGTAGCTTTGGTTGTGACCTTTTTAGAAGACACGATTTCTTCATTCTTAGTGGTGACTGCTGATGATGACGAAGATGTTGATGTCGTCGTCACTGTGGTCGTCGAGGACTCGCATTGGACGAGGCGCTCTAAAGCGCACTGGTAATGGAAATATAATGATTAATAAAAAATTTGATAAAATTGGGTAAATGTAATTATACCTACACATCTATTCAAATAAATAAAAATGATGTATCTAATTAACATTTTCGTTAATTTCTCTGTCTGTTTATTTGGGTTAATCTCCAAAACTGCTCGACCGATTTTGACGAAACCTTTATTTGGCAATCAGCTCATGTAATTGGCCATAAACTAGCATACTTTTATTTTAGAAAATAATATATTTTATTTTAACTCATGTACCTTTAGGTACGATTACATCCCGTAAAATGTATTAAATATTAAAAAATTGAAGTAGTATATTTAATTCTTGTTTTGTTTTCGCATTCGCATTAAAAATCTTATATATCTCGATACTTCTTATAAATGTTACCTTCTTATAAATTTAGAACTTTTGGTTAGATTTTTACTGCTTTCCTGTTTTATCTTCAAGTAAAAATTATAAACAATTTTAATTTAAATAATTTTGTCTTCAATATTCAGATTTACATTAAAATTGATAAATTATTTATAGATTATCTAGCTATTAATATTGTAGTTATTTTACTGTAAAACAAATATTTTTGTTATACTTATAAAAAATGCCTAAAACAAATCTCTTTAAAAATATGAGAAGGACCCTAATGGCCAAAGATTACAGGAAAAAAAAATCTTCTGATATTAAAGGAAAAGTATCCAGGCGTGAGTAGTAATATTTAAGGTTATGGCGAATAACAAAACTTTAATACATAATATTTATGCGGATATTTACAATCTCAATATCAAAGAAAATTCGTGATCATCTAATAACACCTACAAATCGACTTTAGCTCCTACAAAAGACCTGATATTGGATCACTAAAGATTGGCGCCTACGTGTTATTATTATTGTTTTAATGTTATTGTTTTAAACCAAGAAAAGTATATGAAATATACAGAAAACTGAGAGTGAATGATAATTGAAATTGGCATGCATAATTTTTTAACCTTAGCGCAGGTACAGATACTTTATTAACTTCCCGTAGGGTAAGTTATATTAATCGAAAAAATCAAAAAAGAAAATTTTCATATAGCCTTACGTTTCAAAGGTTTCTGAACATTTTGGCACACGTTAGAAAAAATGGATGTATGTTCGTGCGTGTTTGTGTATGCATGTGCGGATACCATTTTTCATCGACAATTTAGTGAACACGGATTAACCAATTCAAATGATTCTAGAAACATTCGATTCCTATTGATAAGGTAACGTGCTGATTAGTTTTTGACGAAGGCAGACCCAGTCGTTCCGAATATACGGGGCAAAATGTGCCAAAAATGGTAATTTAATTTTTGAGAGAACGGACCGTCTGATTTGAATGATTCAAAAAACATTTAATTTTTATTGTCGAAGTGAAGAACAGATAAATTTTTGGAAAGGCGAGTCTAGCGATCTAGCAATAAAAAAAGCTTTTAAAAAATGCCATTTGATTTGACAAAAATATTCATTACACATATGCAAATCAAATTATCAGATTTTTTATAAATATTTAAATAATATGAACAAATTTTATTTAAATTTCTATGGGTTCCGTACCAATGTTTATCCGTTGGAATGCGATGTAGCGCTCATGTTAGATATTTCGTTTCTACGCAGATAACTATTATTATAGTATAGCTATTGTTTTGAAAAAATGTTCAAAATTTCTATTTTATTTCGAATTATAAAAATCCATTTTTTTTCAAAAAGGTCATTTTTATCAAAGATTTTAAAATTCTCAAAAATCTATTTAGTTCAAAGTTCTAAAAAAATTTAAATCTTTTTTAGAAGTTTAATTTTTGGTACAGAAAGTTCTAGCAATTTGCCTTGAGGCACGATGCCATGTACCACTAGTTATATAACATATACTTTACATTGCATTTGCTATCTATTGATGCATACGTAGTTTTAATAATTTAACAAAAATGAAAATTGTTCTAAAGGAAGTAACAGAACTATTTAGAGACGACACGCCAAAATAAAAAAATTACTATCTCCTTACTACCATTATTATCTCCTTCCATATCTTGCAATAAGCTTATATGCAAGTATATCTATATATTCGCCAATATCTGCACTGCTGACATTTCGTAGTTCTAATTATAAAATGAAATATGGCCGAGTAAACTAGAAAATGTTTCATTTGATACCACTTCCCGACATTCGGTAACATTAATAACTTTTATTAGATGCACGTTGCACGGTTGCACGGTTGCAAACTGCATAAAACATTGCCTGAACGAATATAATCTTAGAGGAAAAGTTTATATCAATATCGTAAAGTATGAATCAAATATCAATATATAATCTGAAGAAAAAAATAAAAAGATTTTTCTCCTTATTTTTGAACAGCAATTAGAATTCAATGAGTTAACTGTGATTGACGTGTATATTCGTCATGCGAATAAATTTATGACCAATTGCTATATAAATTGTAATTTTCAAGAAAAACGAAACATATTCACGAACTTCTAAATGTTTGAAACTTTATGTTGCTATAAAATAAGTAGTTGGAAGTGGGCTTTTTCCTTAAGGTATAAACATCCAGATATGTGTAAATACAATTGTAATGAAATGCAATGTAACTGACTGACTTAATCAAAAGAATTTAGATTTTGCTATTTATATACAATTTTTAATATTTCAAAATAAAATGTTTGTTTTTACCAAAAAACATATTTGTTTTAATTTAATTTAATTGAATTAATCAATTCGTTCTATATCATAACAAGTTGAAAGTGGCATATTGCCTTAAGGCAAGTTGCATGAACTTCCTGAAATGTGTAATAATTGACTTAATCAACCGAAATTTAGATTTATTTAGATAAAATTTTCAACAGTTTATTTCGAAAATAAAGTTTTCGCTATTATGACTAATAATTTAAATATGTTTGAGAGATATCACATGGAAATTATAATGTTTGGATCTGATAATTTATTAGATACAAACATTATAATTTCCATGTGATATCTCTCAAACATATTTAAATTAATTGTAATTATTATATTAATTATAGTGCACAGACACGTGCTTGTGTGTCCTAAAATGTTATCTTTTTATTCCAAATTATGGCTTAATAATATCGAATTTATACTAATGGCTTTTTAATTTGCGAAATTCAAATTTTGATTTATTACATCAAAAAAGCGACTTTTGATACAAATTCTGACAATCATATTTTTTCAAACTTTGATGAATTTTTAAAATTAAACGATTATCACAGGGCCGTAATATTTTAGTATTTACTTTAGGACTATTTTTTCAACTGTTTATTACTAAGAAACGGCTTGGCCGATCTTTGTCAAAAATTAATCAGCACGATTTGCAACGCAAAGTTGAGAAACACTAGTCCTCATGGATGGCTTCAAATTTTTGAAATCGGTTCAGCTGTATATCAGAAAATATTGATGAAAGGTCTAGTTTTGATAAACACCATAAAAACGCTAATATTTTTTTCGAACTTTGACAAATTTTTAAAATTAAACTGAAATTAATTTGAATTTCAGATTGACTTGAAACGTTAGAAAACCAAAAAATCAGCAAATCTTTCTTTTATAAAAACAAACTTCTTCTTCGAAAAATTAAAAATCTATTTTATGAAAGAGTGAACATCAATTGCAATTACAGCAATCCGAAATATAATAATTCATTGAATTTATTAACATCCTGAGTTTTCTCCAAAAATCTGATTTGCTAATTTTATGTTTTCTCGACGTTTTAAGTCATCGTTTGAGACCAGAGTCCAAATTTTCAAATTCAAATGATTAACTGGTATAAAGAACTACGTACGTGATATATGTAATCGTGCCAGTATTTTTTATAGCAGATGCTTAATATTTCACAAACGACACAAAACTATGCACGCTGTAGATATGTAACTGGTTAATATACTGATACAGGCTTCAAAATTTAATAGAAAGATATTGATAAAAAAGAATGTGAATATTATATGTATGTATATTACATATTTTACAAAAAAAAGAATAATACCAGTACCAGTTGAATCATATCATAACAGTTTTAATAATAATAAATCATAAAGAGACGTGTATTTAGTATAAAACAGCCGTATCATATTTCTGTGGGCCTAGAAATATAACAAAAAAAGATTCGGTCACGCAATTTTCACATTGAATATACGACGTATAAAACTTCAATTCAGTTGTCATGGGGTAACCTTATGCTGTAAATACACCTGTTAGTATCCACCTAAATCCTAAAAGACATATTGTAAACCAAAGCTATTTTTGTAGTTAAGGTGTTATCACTGAGAAAATATAAAGTATTAGTGATAATTGATGCGGGAAAAAGCACAAAAACTTATAATATAGTGTACATAATCTTAACATTAATTGAACGCCATGATCAACTTTCATACGCAGCGATTTTGTATTTAAGTTTTTATAAAAAAAAACATGTAGAGTTCATTCTAATAATAATTTTATCATAAAAACCCATTTAAGACAATTCGTATGAAAACGCGTTCATGTCATAATATAATGTACAAATAAAAAATATTTAAAAAAAAACAACACTCACATTAGCATTTCTAGCAGCAATGTTAGTAGCATTGTTAGAATCAACGCCCGGAGCTTTACCACCACTACCACTGCTCAGTTCGCACGTAGCCGAACTATCAGGCGAAATCTGGGCCCTCAAATTCTCATCAATAGCATTAGACATATCTTGAACCAAGTCTTCTAATCTATTAATATCCCTCATTCCAAAGGAACTAGAAGAGTGCAAAATCTCATCGATGATTCCTGTATCTTCATCAAAACCTTCCAAATTTTCATCAAAAGATCTTGAGCATGCCTCTTGGGATGAAGACAAATCTTTTTCTTCGTCTGTTTTAAGCACATATTCATCTGAATATTCTAGTGATTTGTCTAAAATATCATCCTGGATTTGTGATTCTGTAAGACTTCCTTCGTGTGATTCAGTTGTCAAACGTTCAGCTAAGAATTCGTTTTCATTTAAGACTACTGCTCCAGAGTTTCCAACTTGTTTTTCTTGAACAGCTTCTTCTACAGTCATCCAATTAGTAGAACTATCACCCTCTACTTCTTCTTTACTATCTACAGTTGTGATAGTAGTTTGTTCTAAGGAAAGGGTGGATGTAGCTGGGCGTTCCTCGAAATCTTCCATCAAAAATGCTGGTCGTCCACGGTTAACCAACGATTTTAAATCTTCTTCAGGGCTATCTATGACAATCCTTGGGGAAGGCATTGGGGGTGTCATTTCTTTCTGACCTGTTCCAAACTCATCATCTGTTGGTGTAGCTCCTGCAGAACTGATAGTTCTTGAAAATATTTCTGAAAGTACAGCATCGTCTGTATCCGATTCGAAAAACTTCTTGGTCCTAAAATTTCTGACCACGTCTGGTGTTAAATCTAAACGTATTTGAGTAGCATCCGGTTTGCTTATATTTCTTGTATCTGTTAAGAGGTCTATGTCATTTGTTTGGTCCCGTGGTGCAACCTCTTCTATGGGGCTACTTGAGTCATCTTTAGGTTGCATAACTACTGTAGATTGCAATACTTTCATTTGAGTTTTCATTGTTTCGTATTCGGCTTCACTGCCTTCGTCCTGACTTAACAAATCTGTCAAGGAGACCCTGCCATCTAAGTCTTCGTTTGAAGCACAGAGCAATGTTTCGAATTTGTCACTTGCTTGATCCGAAGGCGACTCGACTAGGGCATCAAAATCTTTATTTCTGGCGCACCACAACTCGTCTGGACTACTCAAACAATCAGCGACTGGTGATCTAACTAAATCCTGGTTAGTTAAATTGTTTTCTTTCTCTTTTAATCCTCTTAACCGCATCTCATTCTCGATTGCTGCTTCTAGAGACATGGTGACGTCGTCTGGTATGACATAGAACGGCGGTGAAGATGGAGGTGTGGCGTCACCGTTAGTGGTTGCTGCTGTTGCGGATGCTGTTATTGCGTCACACTGAAGAGGGTGTTAATGTTTATGTTAGGAGGAAAGTAACACCAAAATCACATTAGGAAAAATTGAATGATGCAAAATTTATAGCAAAATTTTTGTCATAAATTGGCAGAAATAAGAGTAAAAACACCCAGAACTAATAATAAAATATATAAAGCCTCAAAGACAATTATATTTCTAAAACAAGTTCAGGCATCAAATAAATATTTTATATAAACAATATAATTAGAAATTACATAAAAATAAAGGAAAATAAAATATTAACAAAGCAAGTACCACAATTAATTAGCGTAGGCAAATTAATAAAATCTTACATATTATATTCTGCATCATTCGTTAGTCAATTTTAAATTCATTAAAATCATTAGTTTTTAATTGTAAAAAAGTTGGTTAAAAGTTACTTACTTTTTTCGTTTTGGCAGCAGACATTTTGTGCTTTTGGGCGTCTCTGCGGCGTCGACTAGTGACGTCAGCAGTTGCGCTAGAAGTGGAATTTGTTTGGTAATCTGTAACAAAGTTAATGAAATCATCAGTAAAAGATAAAGTCAATTATTATCAAGATAATCAATATATTGTAAAATTTCTAATAGAAATGAAACAAACGGCATCTTTCTAAACTTAATTTTCAGAGTTCTCGTAAGAATATTACGCATGGACATTTTATTGTAATAATTTTTTTAGATATATTTTTAGTAACTCAGCATCTGAAATTAATATGTTCCTATAACATCCGTTACAATTTCAACCTATTGCCAATTTCATCAATAAGAAAACGTCTTATTTTTTGAAAAGTTAAAAAAAAAAAAACTTTTAATCTATGGGTCCAACAGTTCTATTACTTCCACCTGTATGATTCATGTAATCGCAAAAAAGTAAAAAAAATCCTTGGTATAAGCAGAATCTAAAAATGCTTTTGTTTTTTTGAATTAAAAACTTCATGTCAAAAACCGTTAAAACGATTTTAGCAATTTATTGCTAATTTGTATAACATATAAACCGAAATATCGGATCGATAAGATGGCGGAAGATGTAGAAGATCCAAAATGTTGCAGTATATGTAATATTGATGTTAATGGAAAAAACTTATTGGATGTGAAGGTGAATGCAAAGGTTGGTTCCACAAAAAGTGTGCGAAAGTTACTAATGAACAATATAAAGTTATCAGCACAAGTAACAATAAAATGGTTTTGTGACATATGCTCAAAAAAAAATGAGGTAAGATATTCACATGAAAGTATTTGAAAGAAATAGTAAATGAGCTTACAACTTTAAAGAATGATATTAAAATAAGTAAAGATGCAAGATCTAGTTATGCTACAATATGTAAAAATAATGCCACAGAAAATAATAATAATAAAATTATAAAAATAAAGACATAATAACCCAAATATGCCGCCATAATTGTAAACCAAAGAATAAACAGAACAGCTATGAAACTATAAACTATATTGAGAAAAACATAAATCCAAAAAACGTAAAAGCAAAAGTAAGATCAATTAACAACATTAGTAGCGGGGGGTTAATAATTAAGGCCTCAACAATTGAGGAAACAAAAACATTAGCAGAACATATATACAAAAAATTGAAGCGAATACGAATATATATAAAGAAACAAAGAAATCCGCGACTTGTTATAACAAATGCTCCAAGGCAATATATGGACGGCACAGAATTGATAAATGAAATGATAGAATATAATTACAATATAAATAACACAGATCAAATTAAACTAATATACCAAAGGAAATCACGAAAAACAGAAAATTGGATTACATATATCGAAACATCGGGCAAAACATACGAAAAATTGTTAGATAATGTAATCTAGGATGGAGGACAGCTCATATAGAAGATTTAAACATAAAAAGATGTTATAACTGTCAGGCATATGGACACAGGGCAGTAGAATGCAAAAACAAGACGTTCTGTGCAAACTGTGCGGATGAGCATAACACAAGAGATTGTAAGAGCAAATCTAAGAAATGCATAAACTGCACAAATGCCAATGTAAAATACAAATCAAATTTTTAATACGGTGCATAATGCCAAATGAAACGGAATGTTCATGTTATCAACACAGAGCCAAAATGGTAAGAATGTCGACGAATTACAATGGACAAATCAAGAAAATGAATAAATATAATAGCAATACCAAGAAAATAGAGATTAAGTATTTCAATATAAGAAGCTTAAGAAATAAAATAGATGACTTAGAAATAATTATGCATAAAAATGAAAATGCCAATTTTAATATTAACAGAAACTTGGATATACCAAGAAGAAGAAGGATACTTTAATTTAAAAATTTTAGAGTTTTTACAACTGCAGAGAAAAGAAAAGAGGAGGAGGAATAGCGATATTGTAAGAAATGAACTAAACTGTACAGTCATAGAAAATATAATAAAAATAATATAAACTCCTGGAAATAGAAGTAACAAATATGAACCCTGTTATAAAGTTTATTGTTATTTACAACCCTCCGAATTAATAAACAAGATCTGATAAATTTAATAGAAAAAAAATGGAAGAAAACGGTAAAAATACAATAATAATAGGTGATATGAATTTAGATATAATTCCAAACAATAATATATCAAATTGTTACAAAGATATTATAGAATCATCAGGATACAAAATAATAAATAATATAATAGCCAATACGCCACAAGGGAGACTCAAAACACTAAATCAATAATTGACCATGTTATATCAAATTATAAAAAGAAGATTAATATAGAAATAGAAGACACAGAAATATCTGATCACAAAATGATAACAGTATTTATACAAAATACGCCGAGAATCAAACCAAAATGCATAAAATAATTAGATATAGCATAGATTTAGAAGGATTAGAAAAGACAATAACTTGTAAGTTAGACTCTAAAATAGTGGACCAATTAGAGGATTTAATAAAAATTATACAAATGCAGCAAAAGAAAATAAAATCAAAGAAACAATAAGAGCCAGAGAAGATACCTGGATAACAGAAGAAATTATTAACTTAATGAAATACAGAAACAAATTCTACAATAATTTAAAGAAATGCAATATAAATGAAGTAAGCAAACATAATGCCATAAAAATGAAATATAATAATATAAAAAAAGATATAAAAATATGATCTACAAAGCAAAAAGACAATACTATTCAGAAGAAACAAAAAATGTGAAAGTGACTCTCGAAAAATATGGGAACTAAAAAATAAAACATTAGGAGGAGGAAAAAATAAAAACGAATATAAAGAAAATATTGAAAAATACAGCATAAAGATAAAAATATTTTCTTACAGAAAAGGAAGACATTGCCGAGTATCTCAACAAACATTTTGCTGAAATAGGTATGAAACTACAAAAGAAAATGGATCATTGCAACTATAAACCATCAATACACAGACCTAAAAACAAAATCCAAATTTTTGAATTAACAGATGAGAAAGAAATAAAAAAAATTGTTTTAAATCTGAAAAATAACGCTGCACCTGGCGAAGACAAGATAACAGCAAGAATCACTAAAAAAAAAATAAATATAATAGCTCCACTACTTGCTGTTTTAATGAATAGATACATAGAATGTGGTGTATTTCCATCGTGTCTTAAAATGGCTACAATAAAACCAATTTTCAAAACAGGAAACAAAACAGAGCCAAATAACTACAGACCTATAACAATAAAAACACATTCTCCAAGATATATGAAAAAGTAATAAAAAAAAGATTACTTGATTTTCTCATTCAAAAAATTGACAAAAATCAATATGGTTTCCTCCCTTCATCAAATACACAAGGTGCCCTAATAGATTTGACTAATACCATCAGTCAGCACCTTGAGGAAAATATGCACACAGTTGCAATTTTTATTGATTTACAAAAAGCTTTCGATACAGTAGATCATGGCATATTACTCAATAAACTAATAGATTTGGGTGTAGAGGGTTTGTCTTACAGCATTATCAAAGATTTCCTCATGAAAAGTGGGTAAGGACGAAGGTGGGAAATTTTCACAAGTGGAGGATGTAACATAACCTGTGGAGTTCCACAAGGTTCTGTATTAGGACCTTTATTGTATCTATTATACACCAATAACCTTAAAGACGCAAAATTAAAGGGAAGATACATATTATATGCAGACGATACAGCGATAGTATATGCGGATAAGGATAAAAAAAGACTCGAAGATATTATAAACACGGACATGAAAATATACACCGAGTGGCTAACTGAAAATAAACTAACAATTAACATAGATAAAACAAAATACATATATTTCAAACATAGAAAAAATACTGAGAACACTAAACTAAAAATTGAAGTAAATAATAGAGCAATAGAGGAAGTGGAAAGCATAAAATACTTAGGACTGATAATAAATGAAAAACTGACATGGACAGACCATATAAACAAAATAAAAAGAAAGATAGGAACATTAACAGGGGCATTGAAAAGGATCCACTCTTTCGGCAAAAAAAATAAATACTAATTCTTAAAACGCAAATAATACCTATAATTTTATATGGCATAACAACATGGAGCCAAACAACTAAAGCAAACCTAAATGACATACAGAGAATAATGAATAAAGCCATAAAAATAGCATATAATTTACCACATCTAACACCCACCAAATACTTGCAGAGAGAAACAAATAATCATTCACTAAATAACATAATTAAAATAGAGAAATGCAAACTAATACACAAAATGAAATTTAACCGAATTAAAACAAGTGCAACAATATACACAAATCAAGATATACATGAACACTACACGAGACAACACAACAATTTTCACATTGAACGCAATAGAAAAAAGAATTGAGAGAAAATGTCATATGGAGTGCTACCAAAATATATAACGAATTGCCAGACTATATTAAGATGACCAATGATAATGATAATTTTAAAAGAAAAATAAAGAAGTACTATATGGAAATTGAAGAAAAAGAAGACTGAAGAGTTATATATAGATATTATATTAATGAAATAGATATTATAGTCAAATGAAATGTAAATATTATATGAAAACTGTTTTTCATAATCTCTCATACCAGGCACCTCTGTCTGACTGAGATATGAAAATAATGTATATATGTAAATAAATAAAAAAAAAAAAAAAAAAAAAAAGAACCAATATTCTTTTCGATCAGACAAAGCTGTAATACACCCAATATTTTAATTTCGCTTAGATTTACTATGACTAAAATATTTACTAAAGTATTAAAATTGATGATTCTCATTCATTAATTTGATATATTACCAATAACGTGAGCACAATATATCAAAATCATTAGAATTCCTTTGAACTAATTTTACAATAATTATACGATGAAATTAATTCACAAATGCATTACAACAATTAATTAATATCAGTAAAATCTTATCTAATAGTTTTCTTGATTAATACGTAATTAAAATCGTAGCTTTCTCGTGAAGCAGATTGCAATTTAATAGGTCCAAAATTGCATCATCAAATATAATTAATAAACTTGGGCAAAACAATATTCATATA